GAATTATCCCTTTCGCCCTCCTCCCTCCCCCCTTCCCCTCTGGTAACCACCATTCCAATCTCTGTCTCTATGTGTTTGTTTATTGTTGTTATTATCTACTACTTAATGAAGGAAATCATACGGTGTTTGACCTTCTCCCTCTTAGCAGCAGAGATATTAGGAAGTGGTCCGAGTTGGTACATTTATATCAAGTAAGGACTTGATAGTAATTTCCTTTGTAGTACAGATGGACAGAAAAAAAAAAACCAACAATTTTTCTGGAGAAAAAAAGACATAGGTGGTAAAAGAAAAAAGGAAATTCTATGATTTCTAGGCCACACCTATTGGAGAATTTTTATGATCATATTTCCCATATGACTATAAATCAAATTGACTGTGTCATAATATCTCTTTAAAAGAATGCGAATAAACAAATGAAATGAAATGAATAATAATCCAATATGATTTATAGAGACATAAGATTTTTGAGTAGTAATTGGCTTGTTGTGAAAGTTAAGTTAAAGTCATTTATCACTTTATTTACGTAACACCCTCAAAGCATATGACTACATGAGGAACACACCGCAGAAATTTTCCCTGGCTTCTATGATCTTTTACCACTTAGAATTTATAGTGTTTATGTTTTAGTAGCAATAGCAATAAATATAATATTTATTATACTTACTATATTATTATTGATTCTCCTGAGATCATAAAGCGACTACTAACGGTGAAAGAATAAATCAGTGACACCAAATAACATAAAAGATTAGACCTAGTTCCTAACAGAGTGCCAAATAAAATGTAAATATTCAACTGTACTAAGTAAAATTTTATAAATGACTATTCAAAAAGTCATACTGAGTTGTGATTGTTTTCTTATAAAATATTTTACATTTAATGACTCAGTATTGAATAATGTGATATTTTGAAGTAAACGCGATATTTGATAATACTTACAACTCATAATTCAATAATTCTATGCAGCAAAAAAGTAGGTTAGAATTTAGAATGACAAAATTATTTTCATATTCTGATTAGTAGAGAAATAATACACAAATACATTCTAAACAAAAACGAATAAGTTCTCAAAGTAACTTATACCAACTACTGTCTGTGTTGTGGCTACACTGCACAAATTACCTCCAAATTAATCTTTATCTTGATATGTTTTTATCATGTATAAAAAAATACTCAAAATTAATACAAACATTTTTTTACACTGCACAGTTAGGAGTTTACTTATTAACTTGGATAATTTGAAAATAAGTAAACTATACTCTGTGCACTAAGTGCCTGCTAAATTGCAACTAATTTCAATATGAATTTTTTATAAATAATGTAAAAATAAAAAATTGAGTAATTATCTTAATTATCAACCTTATAAGATAATACCAATAGCTATTATGTTAAAACTAAGAACATATTTATTTTATACCATTGTTTAGTGTTTAGGGTTAAACTCTAAAAAAATCCTATTGAGGGGCCGGCCCCGTGGCTTAGTGGTTAAGTGCGCGCGCTCCGCCACTGGTGGCCCGGGTTAGGACCCCGGGCGCGCACCAATGCACCACTTGTCTGGCCATGCTGAGGCTGCGTCCCACATACAGCAACTAGCAGGATGTGCAACTATGACATACAACTATCTACTGGGGCTTTGGGGGAAAAAAGGAGGAGGATTGGCAATAGACGTTAGCTCAGAGCCAGTCTTCCTCAGCAAAAAGAGGAGGATTAGCATGGATGTTACCTCAGGGCTATCTTCCTCACAAAAAATAAAATAAAATAAAATAAAATAAAATTAAATTAAAATAAAATAAAATAAAATAAAATAAAATAAAATAAAATAAAATAAAATAAAATATCCTATTGAAAAATAAGTAGCATTAAAGATTATAACCATCAATCACAAAACATTAATACATCCCAGACATTGTTCTAAGCTCTTGCATATATTCTCATTTAATTCTCACAATTCTGTAATGGAGGTAATAATATTATCACCAACTTACAGATAAAGAAACTGAGGCTCGGGGGATTTTAGTAACTTGTCTAAGGTCACACAGTTAGTGGTGCAGTGAGGATTCAACCCAAGCAAGAAAGCTGCTTCCAGAGTGCAGTTCTAACCATTATACTATAAAAACTAAAGTCTAAAAAAAAAGTCTACAAGTTTGATGATTTAGACATGTGGATTAAATTGGGAAAAAAAATCATAAAATAAACTACTTTTTCAAGAGGAACTTTATCATATAAATTAGCCTTTGATAGCAATGGAACCATAGTGTCCCATTAGAGCACTCAACAGGTCAAGGAAGGACTTCTCCCAATGGCCAGCCCTGGAGAAAAGAGTGTGGAAATGTGTTACCTTCTGTGCCTTTTTCTTATTAATCTTGTTCCTGCTCTGATGCAGTAATAAAAGATTTCTGACTGGCCTAGGTGCTTCCCTTAGCTGACAAAACCCTCATACATACGAAAGCCCTTATTGTTGTCTCCTTAGAGTAGTCCCTATTACCTGTTCCACTTTCTGGTTGGGAAACATCAGTTCTGGGTCTGTAGCTAAGGATGGCACGTGACCTGTAAACTCTTCAGCTCTACACTACAGCTGTGAGGAAGACTGGGAAGCAGAGAGCAAGGAATCCTTTGGTATAGTAGAATAATAATACTGATGTACACAACAATTCCCCAATACTTCCATGATCCCTACTCCGATTGGGATTCTTGTTTTGGAAGAATCCAGTTCTTATATATTATGGCTTCCCCTAGAGATCTCCTAGTTTTCAGCTCATGTGGATAATGTAACACTAATGGTTGTTATGCAAGAAAGAGATTATTATTTCCACATCACATATGAGAAAATTAGTGCCTTTATTAATAACCTCCCGGTCTGACTGGTCCAAAGCTTTTTTTTAAGTCTGCCCTAAACATCCTTGTATTTTCTTGGGTCAGTTATTCCTAAATATTTGGAGAATTTCTACAACCATCATTTAAACCAGATAATTTTCAAAAATTCTGCAGCTTGACTAAACATGTTTAAAAGTAATGACCATTCATTACTGAACTTAGCCAATAAATCTTCCATACCTAGTATAAGATTCATCATGTTTAAATTCTACTTTGTAGCAACCTTAGGATTTTGAAAATTGTATTTATTTTATAGTATGGTTCCAGTTGAGTTTCTATTCATTCATTTGACAAATATCTGCTGAGCACCTTCTCTGTGGCTGACGCTGTCATGGAAATGTGGATGATAAAAAGTCATACACAATTTATAAGACAGTATCCCTGGCTTATTGTGGGAAACAGTGCTCGAGTTGGGAATAGAACACTTTAGTGTCAGTTCTAGTGCGAAGTTTCTTACTACATGGTGGTTCCCAAATGACAGACTGATGACCCCCAGCATTAGTTCATTTAAGAAAAAAATAAAAAGAACATTCAAGTAAAAAATGTAGAAAGGATGCAAAATAAATATTCATCAAAATTAAACCAACTTAGGAATCTTAAATAATCACTACTTTTTAGAAATAATTGTTTTCATTTGGTTAGAGACCCATGTAAACCTAGTCATTTGATATAAATAAAGTATTTAACACTAGAACTGAGACTAAATAAAATGCTCCCTTCTCAACATTTGGAAGTACTATCTAGAATAAGTAA